ATGCAAGGAGTTCAAAACTCACTTCGGTGGAAGCATTTGCAGAAAAGGAGCCAATTTCCCCAGAAATTGGTTCCTTTTCTGCAAATGCTTCCACCTTGGCTCCTTTTCTGCAAATGCTTCCACCGAAGTGAGTTTTGAACTCCTTGCAGAAAAGGAGCCGATTTCCCCACGATATATGTTAATGCGCGAACCCAGGTTAATTAAAACTCAGTGCACTACCAACAGAAGGTAAACATTCAGAATTTGCGGAAGAGTACCACCCACTCCTGATCTGACGAGGCCAAAAGGACTGAAATCCAATCTTTTGGCTTTCGCAATTAAAATCTTCGCTTGTCTCTTTGTGTAAAGTAATGCTCGAAGCACTGGAGCCCGATAGAACCACTTGTACGACAATGGGGCCCTCCAAATACCGACTTGAAATCAGCGAGCTGCCGAAATAGCCCGAAAGGAAGTGTCTCAGTGCGAAGCGATAAGACGGGCAGTCGTTTTCATCCACACTATCTGACTTGAAGTGCAAGAAAATCAGCACAGTCAATGACTCGCCCATGGATATCCTGCAGGCTTCCACCCGTTGAGAAACGACATCTAAAGCATAACTCACAGCATCGGATACAAAGAACGCAATCTACAAAGCATTTATTCGCTGGAGTGAACCTGGAACCTTCGCTCTGCTCTGCTCCTCAGTACAAGGGAGTGCCGACTGAAGGAAACACAGTCTACGTACGAAAAGTGCGCTCGTAGACAACCGTGCTTGTAGTCGGTTCCAATTTATCCTGGCTGAAGTGTGCCTTTTTCTGTCTTTCGCGCGCATAGCCAAGCACGTTGATGATATCAAAGGTGAGAAAGTGAACTGCGCTGTGGAGTGGTGTTGCCTGTACTTGGGCTTCTCCAAATATTCACAACCCACGATCCAAGGCAACCATCTTAAGCCCACATCAGCTATAAGTGGCAAACAGTGTATCAATATTCACTGAAACTATTTAGTACCTTGGGGATCGTATGGTAGAGCTAAGCTTGATTCCTTTCACTCCAACACACGAAGCATTATTATTCAAATTGCACGTTGTTTGATCGTGCGACCCTGAGTAGCCCAAAATTTTCATTTTGTTATGGCTACATACTAAATTTTAAGGATAGACAAACTTCGGGCAGTCGTCGTTGCTTTCGGAGGAGAACGAAACTAAAGCACGGTCCAAGCTACCATCAAAATAGCAAGCCAAACTAGCGCAAGACGTATCCGAGAAAATTAGTTCACAGTGTTGCAGCGCGGTGGAGCTTGAGCTGAAACATACAGAAACAGAACTTGAACTCTCTTGCGTGAGCTAAGTGTAGCAGAGGAGCAAAAACGTGCTGGAGAAGAAGTTTTAAATATACAGGCTTTCCTAGTAAAACTGAGGATTATCAAACTACTGCTAACTCTTGGGGGAGGTGAAACGATAAAACTAAATAACGAGTTCTAGGAAAATAGAGTAGTACTTGCACGCATATGAACGCTATAAAAGAAAGAACAAAGGGCTTCATACTTGAAACTTGAATTACTTGTCTGCCAAGTGCGCCAAGTACGCTGATGGAATTGATGACGTTCTGTGGCCCAATCTTGGCTCAAAATCCCAGCGGCACTTATGGAAAGATGAAGACGCCCACGTTGGTTAGCTGCCAAGATCGAATGTTTTGACGATTTTCTCGGATTGTCTTATTTCCTCTTCTCACAATGTACTAAAAGTGCCAAGATATTCTTCTTTCTAAATATTATTGGAAGACAGCATGGCGGAAGGCGGCAATTCGCTCAGCAACGGGGTTTACTCGCATGTCCTGCAGGCAAGCTACCGCCTGTGGCGTTTCTGCCTTATTGAGTGCAGTAACTTCTGCGCAAAACAAAGGTTTGTCTGTACACCCAGGCTATGTAGCCGCGCTGCTACCCCTTTTTTGGCATGCAACCGGAAAGAATCACTGCCACAATTTCTTCGGGCACTGCCTAGGAAGCAAACGTAAGGGGAGCTATGCTGGAGGGTATCTTCTATGCACCAGAGCCTCTCTTCACGACGAAGTGTCTCCGAAGACGACTTCCTCTGCCTTAGCAATTGCAAAAGCCATGCTGGTATCTGTGGCTCTTAAGCACAATTGCGTACAACAGAATCTTCTACCTACGCCCTCGACTGCTTGCAGCAAGCGAAAGAATGCTGCTCTATTTCACAGGCTGCGAGCTTTTGCAGCTCTCTACGTTGCTTTTGCATCTCTTTTGTCCATCGAATGCTCTCTTGAAGTGTATCGCCTTTCTGCCCTGCGTTTTGTGTCGCAAGGGATTTAGCATTAACTGTGTACCACTCCGCCTGCTAATCCATACACAGTGTGATTTATCCGCTGGGCCTAACTTCGCGGTTTTATGACAAGAGCATTCAGGGCTGGTGAACCACCATTCGATTAAGTTGCCGCTGTGGAAGTGCGTCTGAGATCTTAGAATGCGAGATTTGAATAACCAAAGGAGCCTGACAGCTGTAGCACTTCTACTGGTTTGCAGGGTACACACTATCCCTTAGTCTTCCAATCGCTGACAAGGTATGAACGGCTTGGCCACTGTTCCTGAAGAGCAAGGCAACGAACCACATAGGTCTCAAACTCTTAGCAATATTTTCAGCAAGTGCTCCGAGTGTGCAAGCGGCGCACCTGTGGCGTTCGCGTTCTGTCATGTCCCGTGCGGTTCTCTGCATGTCGGTTACAAGTTCATCATTCTTAGTACATTTGTGGAGATGAAATCTATGCATTAGTAATATTAGGCATCATTTCTCCTGTTCAGTGATTCGCTGAGAACATGGCTAAGCCAAGGCAGTTGCTTGAGGCCCCAGAAGCATTCAGCGCCTGCGGATTGTCCTCTCAAGTTTTCGCAGTACGTTGCAGACACACTTGGTGCTGAAATATTAGAGTTCTCGCGATGATCATTACTGCCTTCTTGCTTGCCATCACCTTGTCACAACAGGTCATCTATATCCGTGGCCTAGCCAAAGATATCCACGGCCAAACTGCATCCTAGCTGCGGGTTGGCCTCTGTTCAAAGTCGCCATAGCGATCCTTCCAAAGTACGTTTTCTTTTCATGCGCCTCTTCGTAGACTGCTGGAAATTCATCCGATAGTAGCAAAACAGTAACGTGCCGGTGAGACCTGTATTCCCAAGTGTTGAGGCTCTGTCTCTTTTACCTCGACTCCGTCATGAGTCGAATCGATGGACAGCAGAATAGCCGCTGCTTGGCCGGCAGGCCTTCTCATGAAGTGTGCAACGAGACACTTTTCACAGGCCTGCGCCGATGCCTAGCAAAAGAAGGTGGGGCAGACCATCAAAGAAATGCTGGGAAAATGAACAGCCTTCATACTTCGCCGAGAGGAGGTGACTAACGGCATACTGCCTGACAACAAAACTGTGTAGTATGAGCCTTTTGCTAGACCTCAGGAGGTCCCGAGTGAAGCCGTGGCAAGCGCTGTCACTTCACAGAAATGCATTTCCCTCGAGGCACGCTCTTTCGTTCATACTAGAAGAACTCCAATAAACGTTTATGACGCAGACTGGCTGCAGCGGCCTGGCTCAGCGCCTGTCTGCCTTTAATTTGCTCATGTTCTGCAGCGGATAAAACTCTATTAGCCCTTGCCAGGGGAGCCTGTATAGGGAGATACTGGGCTCTCTCGACAGGCAGAAGATTTTGTCTGACTTTCCAGACAAAGCTCCCAAACTAGAGAGAAAAAAAAGAAAAAGATTGAGCGCAGGACAAGGAATACTGAAGGGAGGGCGCTGGATGGTCCATCACCTGCGACCTCCTACCATGCTGGCCCAGAACTGACCGCAGGTCATGTCCAATTGTCATTCTATGATCTACACGGAAGCACAGTAGGCTCGTAGACATCACTGAAGACATCCCAGATACAAGGCAAGAGCTGTAGAGCGAGTGCATCAGGAATGATAGGCCAGCACCCGCCACGGCCACAGCCTCTTAAGACTGAACAACAACGCGCTAAGAGGCTGCGCCGCATTGAGTAGCAGTAACTTCAGCTGAGTTCTCTTTCTACCACAGTTAAAGCACCTCCTGTTTAAATCTTCTACTACAGCCGCTCTGGCGGTGACATGGAAGGCGGTCGTCGCCGCCCTTCCGACCTTTCATACGTGGAACACTTCCAGCTATCTGAGGTGAATGTTCGCTTTTACGCTAGTACTGTATTATTCACTTCCCCAAAAGTCTGCGGTTCCACTCAAGGCAGCGACAACATACTGCGCAGGATTAACTCCTGTCTGCAGCGGGACCTGGCCCCAAGTGTCAAAAAGTCTACCCGCAGCGTCACATGAGTACAAATAAATCTCCATATTTGTTGGCAATGCTGTTAGAATGAGCGGGCATTCGAAGCATTTCATTGGACGCATGCAAGTGCGCCGAAGATAAAGAGAGGCCGGTGTTACTTTGCAACGATGCAACACCACCTTCATTGCAAAGCGGACGTTCATTCCTTAACCAAGAGTCATGAAAATGGCGAGAAAAGCCATGTGGCGGCTGGGGGATTGCCAAAACAAATAGATCCACGACGAACACCTTTTTTTGTTGCGCTGAGCATGCAATTCCTCTCAGCCCCAGCAACTGTTTCCTGCGCCACAATCCCCGTGCGCACTCGACACAAACAAATGAGGACGAAGTAGAACAATATTGTCGTTTTTGCGTTAAGTTAGCTTTGCTTTTACTGAACTGCTAGTACATCGTGGCAACCAACGCGAACTTGGCGCATCACGTCCTCAATCTGTCAACAAGGTGTCACCAAGTGTGGTCTTCTGCTCGCTGCACCAACAGCAGCGCAGCACTAATACGAACTATCTGAGAATGAATTTAGTTGAGGCTGAAGGTCTCGTGGCGGAGTAAGGACAGGGCGCATCAGGCCCTCGCATGACTGGAAGGCGGATGCGCGCCATGTACTGCAGCCAAGGAGCATTCATGCTACCATCTGAGTAGATTCTTATGGTCATTTAGAGAATGTGGATAGGTAATATCGGGAAAAAATCTGCGGCCTTCATCAACCACAAGCCATTCCACCCGGGGAACTACCAAAACCAGGAAAAGGTACGTTCGAGGCCTCGTGTGTGCATCGAGGCGTTTTCTGCCTTTTAAAACTGAGTAAGCGTACTCGCTGGGAATTGCATTTCTACACTTAGGTTTAGAGTTTGGCTGGTCTTGCTGACTTCTGGTTTCAGGTATGGCTGGCTGAGCAGAAGCTTAAAGAGGAACAGAAGAAAGAAAGAGAGCTTGAAGAACGTCGCCGCGAGGAAGTTAAGATTGAAGAGCTGCGACGGGCCTTGAGAGGCGAGGCGAAAGCTGCACAGCAGCTGCAGAAGAAGGAGGAAGCAGTTTCGCCGGCAGAAGAGCTACGACAAAAGGCAAGAGAGGCAGCGAGGCTGCAGGCTCTTCATCGCAAGCAGCAAGAGGCTCAGCAGCGGCTAAAGCAACCAGCAAAGAGTACATTATATGATGAGGATGTTCTGACGCTTGGCCATACTTCTGTTTTTGGCTCATTCTATTCTAAGGAAGAGGACAAGTGGGGGTACAAGTGTTGCGGCTGTTTAGACAGGTCCTCCGTTTGCACTGCTAATGAAGGAAACGGTCAAACACGCCAGAAGAAGAGAAAAAACAGGATTGCAGCGTCATCAGACACTGCCGACATTGCAATCTCTTCGGCGCCAGGAGATGAAGCAGCGGAGGATAAGGTCCTGGAAGCAAGCAGCGAGAGCAACAGTATAAAGTCTATGCCAAGCGATAAGAACACCGGTGACAAATTTCATGTGGGTCGCAGCAAACGCAGGGCAAGAGAGGGGGGTGTGGCAGCTTATGTGAGGTTGCTGGCGTTACCAGAGGAAGACGACTAGTTGGTTACACTTGGATTATTGCCTGCTGCGTGGATTTCGTGGATTATAAGTTTGCGGCATTTTCGAATTTATAATAGGTGTTCCATCTCAGGTTTCAACTCGGGAACCTGGTGATTGTGTGCTTGAGTAGCGTAGCATACCAGGGTGTGCGCGCGGCTTTTCATGTGGCTTATTCCGAGAGAGAAGAAATGTGCCTTCACTCCCACACCGCCATTCTGTCTGCGCGCGTTGCTTCTGGCTTACTGGCTTGTGGATACTCATTTAACTTTTAGAGAAAGAGTCACAAGCCTAGTCTCCGCAGGGCATCCATAGGGCTGCTGACAGTTGCAAGCAGCATAATGGGTCTTATTTCTTCTGTCCTGTGGGAGGTGTTGTCCTACACGGGATTTCGTCTACTTCAACTGGAGACTAAAACTGCGGACTTTTCTGCTCACCAGTTTTTGTTTGGGATGATCCCAATGGAAGCATGCGAAGTCGCTCTCTGGCGTCGCAGCATTCGTCATTATCCCTGTTGATGCAAACCAATGACTCTTAATCAGTATACGTTTTACGAGGAGGGATGATTTTCGTGCTAGGGGAAAAGTTGCGCAGCACAACTGTGGAGCATCCGCATGAATCTGCGATCGTCACAACGGGGCATTGTAGGCTTTGAGTGTCGCATATGAAAGCTCGCTGCCTAGTGACGAGCTTTCCACGAAGTGTGCCACCACAAGTGAAGTGAAAATCCAGACCTCGAGTCGTTCTAATGTAAATCTTGCGGGGAATCAGTGGTGACCCCGGTGGAAGCCACGTAACAGAGAAAAGAACTCTGGGTGCCACTGGTAGATGTTGAGCTGAATTGAGATTTTGCATGTTATCTCAGAGGTGAAACTTAGTTCCACTTTAATAAGAGGCATAATACGTGATGACCATAAGTGGTAACGTGTTGTAGTTTAAAGCCGCTGCGCGCATGGGTCTTGAAAGGAGGCTCATACGCGAAACGACTCCAACTCCGCGCACCATAGTTACGGAGGTGTATGATGCCATGCAGTGAATCAGACTAAGTCCCCAAGAAGAACTCATCCCCTTCTTGGTGCCGCTGCTCATGTCAATTCCGCTCGAGTTTCCCTCAGAAAGGCCCAAAGAATCAGCAAATCGCCTCATATATGCCACTCTAGCTGGCGTCCCCAGTGATCCAGTGACAGTTCTTTCTTTGTTAAGTCCGCACATGACCCTCCTTTTCATATGATTGCCTTCATATGATTGCCTGCAAGACCGTGGATGCCTATCTTTCCAAATCCATTCGCAGCACGATCTCCCGTAGATGCGCCACCTCATGCTCCAGCGCACACGCAAAATTAAGGGAATCTCCTGCTCTACGCAGGTGATTCCCTTAATTTTGCTTATGCGCTGTGCCGGCATTACTGCCTGGCTTTTGAGGGGAAATATGTAAGGAGGTATGCTCGAGCCTTAGTCGTCCGGAGCTTGAGCCGAAACAGCAGCAGCAGCAGCAGCAGCAGCTTGAGCAGCAGCAGCAGCCGGACTGCCTTCACCCCATATTGTTGAACGCACTCATGAGACCTCCCGTAGCATACGTAACTACTCAACGGATGTACCACATCAGCTGCAGCAGCAGTAGCAGAAGTAATAGCAGCAGTACCGCTGGCAGCACTTCCCCTTTGACCCAGCAGCAGCTGTCTCTCTCCGTGCGGTCCCCACTCCGGATTCCCGTTTCCTCGTCTTTTTTTGAATACAACCAACTGCAGCAAGGGCCCCTTTCTCTCCTCAAGACCCCCTTGTTTGCTGCTGGCCCCTTCGGCTAGATGGCTACTGTGCAGCGCGTGTTTCGAATGCAGGAGCTGCCGTCTGCCCCGTGACTGAATTATCGTGCGCTGAATATTCCAGTGCGTTTCGTCCATTTATTGCTCGCCCGTTCGGTAGGTGCATAACTAATGAGGTTTGATGCGTGTGGAACCAAAGACCCCAGGACCCCGTGGACAATATCTTCACGTTAGTATGTGCAGAACTACAGCTTTCCCGGAAGAGCACCCGAATGTACTGAGCTAGGCCCATATACAGTACTCCCAGCTGTTTACGAGGGCGCACGCTTTCATCTAAACGGCAAAGAACTGAATAAAGCCGTAATGAAAAACGTTGTTGTTCCTCTGAATAAAGCCGTAATGAAAAACGTTGTTGTTCCTCCTCGTTCCTCTAAGGAGACCTTCCCCTCTCCGTGTGCTCCGCTGCTGGCAGCACCTATTGCGTCGCTGCCAACCCTGGGCCGTGGCCCAGTTGAAGAGTACCGTAAGCTTGGTCTGTCACATGATCCATGCTTCTAACCACGCTGTACTCATATAACGCTAAATACTACGACCTTCCAATGTTATTTCTGCGCAGCATAGTGGTGCTGCGCAGTACACCTCGACTGTCACATGATCCATACTTCTAACCACGCTACACTCATATAACGCTAAATGCTACGACCTTCCAATGTTATTTCTGCGCAGTATAGTAGTGCTGCGCAGTACACCTCGATATGCCCCATGCACTTTCCCTTGGTTCTCTTAACAAAAATCCTTAGAGTCTTACTAGTCAGTCCCACCTCGCCACCCCCACCTCTTGTCAACTGAAATGTTTTCCGCAAGAGTGTTCCGCTTTAAAGGAATCTCTAGATGACGCCACGGGAACTTTTGAGAAGCTAAAGATGAAGACAAGCGGCAGTGTCCCGTGGAGTTTAGAAGAAACGTGGAAGCGTGAAGAGTGCCTCTAGTTCAACTAGGAAGACAACTAAAAGCCGAAGAAGCCCGACACAATTGTTGTAAGTCAACAGTCTCTGGCGTAAAGGGAGCCATCACCATTGATTTGACAAAGGAAATGTATGACTGAGACGACTAAACTTAGGGGAGGCACCATATGAGCACTTGCTACACGAACACAAATGTAACAAGTTAAAAATTTGTCGAAGGTAAACAACAGTCGACGGAGTGTTAACACACAACCGAATGGCTTCATGCAGTGTGAAGCCCCTTCCGACGAGATCCACGCACATGGCAGCATAGTATGATGCTACAAAAAAACCTACGTGGCGGATTTGCCTGAACACTCGGCGAATATAGCCCATCCATGCCATGCCCGCAGGCACGTAGATAATACAACTGGCATCTGTTCTGCTGCTACTGAAGCGCTCGTAGCTTGTGTAGAGCGTAGCGCGCTGCCCGTGCAAGTCATTCAAACGCTGCGCCTATAAAGGGAAGGCAAACGGCAACGAGATGGAAATACACGGAGGCAGACAAACCTGAAATCATCAAGTCCGCACCCGACAACAACATCAAGTGGAGCCAATAGAAGGCAGGCCCTGGCTTCCACCGGAACCCTGATATCTGTTCATGAAGCGTTTATCTCCAAAAGGTTTAGCTTGACGATGAGTCACACGCGCAAATGGTCTTTGTTTCAGCTACAGTGCCGACCCTGTAGCCGTCTCAGCTGCCGGTTTAGCCAGAGAGCCCGTGGGACCGAACGTCCATATCTGCCAAGTCTTTAAGTTCTTGAACAATAGAGCCAAACAGGTCTCGCTGACGCACACTGCCGTCACATGTCGTCGCTGGGCGTTGGGACCCAAGCGAGCTATGCAACGCTGTCTGCCGAGAAGCCCTACCATTCGACTCTCAGAGTGAGGCCCTAAGCCGTGAACCGTTTGCCCTGCCAGCGGGTGTAAGCATGGCGATGGGCTCAGCGACTGCTCAAATCTATCCAAAGACCAACCCTGAGGCGAACCCACCAAAACAGCGACAGCCGGCGAGCCTGACACCTTGGATGCCTTTGAAGATTCGACATCAGAGACGGGATAGGGTGCTGAGGGGAGCGCTGCAGGCGGCTGCTGCTCCCTCTGGTGTGGTGTGCCACCACACAAGTGTGGGGAAGAACCCGTCCCTGGATGAGCTCCAGGTACCGTGTCGCCGACATAACTGTCTTCAGTATTCTGTCCCTCAACCTCCAAATTTGTGGGTTCGACGCTACTGGAGGCTTCTGCATGCGCATTCTTGCTGCTTCTCTGTTGCAGTTGCTCCCATTGTTCCATTTGCTGTATGTAGAGCTCCTCTGCAGTCATACCAATTGCCGCAGCAGAGTCATGCAGAGCCCTCGCTCCTTCCTCGCCAACCAAGCTAATGAGGAAGGAAAGATCTGTGGGTCCCGAGGCCCAGCCTGTGCGCTGGCAGGTAGCCTCAGACGAAGAGTTGCCGGCAGCAACCACAGCTGCAAAACTCGGTTTTATACCATCAGCAGCTGCACTTGTACTCGTGTTTGTCTCGAGCTCTAATGGAATCTGCGATAGCAGCACTTTAGGCAGACACGCTTTGCCGCGAGATTCCTCGCAGTGGCCTAGTGATGCCAAGTGGTCCCCTCGATTCCCATGAGCCGAAATAACTTCTTTGTTGGACTGCACTTCGCTGTACTCTCCAGGGGCAGGTGATGAACAAACTGACTGAGGAGCAGCTGCCGGCGAAGAGCTCGAACAGGTTGTCGTCCCCTGTGCATTAGGGGAGGCGCGGTCTCTCTTCGCAAAGACCTTCTCCGTCTTCGGGGGGAACGGGGTGCTGAGAGGCGGAAAGTCGTCTGCATAGCAGACAGCCACAGCTGCCGCCAGTTCCGGATCAAGCGGCTGCTCCTCATCCACAGCAGGCATTCCCATAGAGTGTCCCTGCCGCTCTTTACTTATATCACAGGAAGGGTTCATTGAGTCTGCATTAAGCCCTGAGGTGGTTCCCCAGTTGGTGCTATCCACTACAGGCCTGGATTCTGCGGCCTGCAGTAAGCTTCCGCTGCCCTCAACAGCCGTCTGCCGCTGTTGTTGCTGCTGCGAAGTTGTGCCAGTCTCTAAGCGACCTTCGGCAATCCTAGAGCTTCCACCTACTTCCTTCTGTGTGTCGTAGAGTAACTGCAACTGCACGGCTGGCTCAAGGGTGGTTGCATTAAACCAGACACCCCCTACGACAACTCCTTCTCCCAGCTGACGGCTAGCG